CAAAACACGTAAATTAACCAGGGGTGCCAAAGTTTTTGCATGTACAGAACAATTCGAATGCTTCCATGACCCACTGCCATTCAGAAAATTGTTCCCTTTTTATGTGTGCCAATTATTGCACAGTTGCCTTCAAAACTGTAGGAGGTTAATTATCAAAATCTTTATTGGGCCTCTTATAATTATTATCATATGTAAAATCCATGTTTGTATCCATTTTTTCACTTTTAAAAATGCTTCCATATAGCACCAAAAAAAGGGTTCCACTATTGTTATTGCTAAAAGTCAAAGAACCCTTTTTGCTATCAGTGTAAACAACAATACAAGCCTATCCTGTGAAAAACAGGTTATTTCCAATTCATGTTCCAATTGGCTAACACTTGTAGGAACCCCTGTGGCAGCAAACTAGAATCAAATAATGTGCACTGCCAACTGTTGGTTCAGTAAGGAGGAAGAAATCAGTCGAAATCTACAGGCCGTAAAACAAATGTCGCAGTGGCATTTTACGTTCGAAGACTGATTTTCCCAGCCGGGCCTGAGCACAAAGGGAGAAATCATTTTCCGCCCCGGGAAAATGAGAAATCCGTTTCTGTTCTCAGTTACCGAGCCACATAACAGAACGACAATCCTCGACACACACAAACTGACACAGAGAGAGAATATATGGGCTGAGAGGAAATCTATATGAGACAGCTCTCCCACTTGCTCTTGCAGCAAAGAGATAGGCTGAAAGATTGACGTAACTGCTGGAAAAGTTTGAATTTCTCTTTATGTTTGAAGCGCTCCGTTAAAAAGGGCCTCTCATGTCTAATGCTATGCTAATGGCTCTTTTTCTCAGACAGGTCTTTGGCCAGGCTGCTCTCTGCGCTGCCCCGGGCCCCTGTCCGCCCCGGTCATGCCAAGTTTCCCCACGTAGCCTTCTGCCCACTCACCTCCCATAGGGTGTGGGACGCCCAGCACTGAGAGCTGGGTTTAACGTTGACCTGCTGAACCGATAAAACTCACTCTTTCGTGCTATTCGTTTCAATTACTCTAACAGGGCATTTTATAGGTTGGAAAGAACAAGTAAATGTGGACAATACAATGTCTGGTAAATGATTATGATTCACCAAAGGCTGCAATGGACGTTTCCAACTCTGTTAGTCAGAGTGACCGAGGCCTAGCAGAATGGCTTTATTATGGTGGTGAGGATGGCTTCTTTCTTAGTTTCTTTCTTTCTTTCTTTCTTTCTTGCTTGCTGTCTTTCTTTCCTTCTTTCTTGCTTGCTTGCTGTCTTTCTTTCTTTCTTTCTCGTTCTAGAAGGGATGTTTCCCTCCATTTACGCAAGTACAATTGTGATTGATTTATATTTCTTTCTTTGTTTATTTGACTGTTTTCAAATGATCACACTTTTACTTTAACTCAAACTGTTTGTGAGTAAACAAAACGACACTTCAAAAAAACCCAAAAAGGTACTATATAGGGCTCTTTAGTTTGATGCCATAGAAGAATCACTTTTGGTTTCCTAAACAAACTTTTAGCAAAGTCCTTTAAAGGGGAATTCCACCCATTTCTCCCCATATTTTTAAATTCCATTCATGGTGGAGAGGTACATGCAGGGCATTGTAAGGCAAAAAAAAAAAGAAAAACATAATTTTTTACCACTGTTTACACTATTTTACCATGATCAACATTACATATTAAAATTCAGATGATGCGTGTAGGTTCACTGGTGGTTTAGGATAGTAAATAAAATGACTATATTTGTGTTGTAGATGTTTCTGTCAAAGAAATCTGAGTTGGCAAGTTTCTCTACACTATTTCACACCAAACCAATCTGAATAACTTTGTTTAGATCTCAAGCACTGAATTATGAAGAAATTTTGGTGGAATTCCCCTTCAAAAAACAGTTTCTTACTGAGATGTGTGATTGAGGAAACTTTTTAAAGTATAAAGAACATCCACATATTATAAATGTTCTATACCAATGAAAGGCTTTTTACTAGAACCCTTGAACCAAGTCAAGAACAATTAAGGAACCGTAATTTTTTAAAAGAATACTTTTTCTGTAAGTTCACTTTAACCATTCACATTAATTCATTTTAATGAACTGAATTAGTTTAAATTAGTTACTAAGTCATATCTTGTGATTAATTTCATTCAGCATAGGGCCTGATTTACTTTTGTTCACATCTTGGCACTTTAGCATTTATTTCAGCCCAAATATCTCATGAAAAAGGAAGAGTGGCCCCTAACACACTCCCTGTGTTAATAGATGCTGGGTGTTGTAAAAGGTTCCACTACAGTTCTGTTGGTAGTGTTTTCTGCAGTAATTTTGACCTGACACTTTTCAAGACTCAAGATATTATTTGCAAGGCTGCTTTAACTTGTACTTAAGTCATATTTATCCTCACTAAAATTATACTTTTACTCAAGTGTGGATTTTGTTAACCTACCTCTGGTGTTGATGTTCTAGCATGTTCTGTCTGGGGACCACTTCCTCACTCCTGACAGCAGAAGAAGAACAGAGACAACTAAATTGTTCAGGCTGTAATGAAGACACATCTTTATTGAGCACAGGAACTGGGCTGTGCTATGGCTCGATCGTGCCCGAGAGTGTGGCACGGCTGTTCAGAGGTCAGGCCTGGTTGCTGGATCTGACACATGTTGAGCAGCGCCCCTCCTGGCATGTTCATTCTCCACACCGCGGCGCAGGTGGAGCCGGGCATTCCTCACTCCTAACGTAGACAAGTGAAAAGAATAAAAGCACTCGGTGAAGCCAGCACATCAGCCTTATTGACACCCGCTCTGGATTTATGAGGCCGTGGTCATGTGTGTGGGTTAGAGAAAGCGTGAAGCACATGGTTCACAGCTTAGCCTCACTCTTCTACCGGCAACGTTTAAAGACAACAGCTTACTGCAGGGAAGAGCGGCTGGAGCTTCCAGATGGAGCTACAGCTTCCAGAGAGAGAGAGAGAGAGAGAGAGAGAGAGAAAAGAGAAAGACTGAAGGAGAGAGATACACTGAAAGAAAAGAGAAAGAAAGAGAGAGGGACTGAAAGAGGGAGAGGGAGACTAAGGGGGGAGCAGAGAAAGAGAACAAGAAACTGATGGACAGAAAGAGAAAGAGAGCGCAAAAGACTGAAGGAGGAGAAAAAGAAAAAGAGTAATGAGGGAGAAATGGGAGAGAAAAAATGTGCAAAAGATTCAAGGATAGAGAAAGAGAGAGAGAGAGAGAAAAAGAGACTTAAGAAAAAAGAAAAATGAAAAAGAGACTGAAAAAAGGAGAAAGAGAGACACTGAAAAAGGTACAGAGAGCAAGAGGCTGAAGAAAAAGGAGAGAGATTGAAGGAGAGATAGACAGAGGGAGAGAGAGAAAGGCTAATGGAGAAAGAGAGACAGGGAGACTAAGTAGAGAGCAGAGAGAGAGAACAACATAGTGAAGGATAGAGAGAGAAAAGAGAGGGCAACAGATCGAGGGAGGGATAGGGGAAACATTCAAGGAGAGAAAGAAAGAAAGACACTTAAGAAAAAGGAGAAAGACAGAAGGAGAGAGAGTAAACGAAAAGAAAAGACAAGACTGAAGGAGGGCGAGAGAGCAGGAGACTGAAGAAAAAAGAGAAAGACTAGAGAGAGAGACAGAGGGAGAGAGAGCAAGAAACTGAAGGATAGAGATAGAAAAGAGAGGGCAACAGTCTGAGGGAGAGATGGAGGCAAAAGATTCAAGGAGAGAAAGACAGAAAGACTTAAGAAAAAGTGAAAGACTGAATGAGAGAGACAGACTGAAAGAAATGAGAACGTAAGAGAGAGACTGAAGGAAGGAGAGAGCAGGAGACTGAAGAAAAAATAGAAAGACTGAAGGAGAGAGAGATAGAGGTAGCCTAAAGGAGAAAAAGAAGGAAAGAGAGAGAGAGAGAGAGAGAGAGAGAGAGAGAGAGAGAACAGAAAAGTCCTGAAGGTCCAAACTTGTGCTTGTATTTGTTTGCTTCTATAGAGATAATGTAAGTGAATTAGTCTGGCAGGCGGCTGCTGATTCAGTCTGTCCAGCATGTTAAGCGTGTCTCCTCTGAGAGCCGTACAGGGAGAGACAGGCACTGTCTAATGAAGCCATTTCCATCCAATCAATCTCTTCTGAGCTTCTGAGCTAAATCAGTCAGTTTCTTCCACTTCCCAGTTTTTATTATCAGCTTTCTCCATCACACTGAATTGATCTGTGAGAACACTGAAGCTTTTCTGGAGATTAAAAACCTTCATCCACTGTGTTTGAGAACATCTGCCACATGTAAATGGTATATAGACATGTACCCTGTTGGCTGTGCGGAGTACCACACCGTGCTTATCTTTGTATCAGTCTCAAAATCGCTTGTTTACTCTCTGACCAGACGGGGGCACTGCAACTGCAAAATGCAGCCCACCGGGGGAAACGAGTGGAGAGGGGCAGAGAGAGGACTCAATCACCACAACAGAACTTTGCCTTGAATAGCTGTTTATGGTTGCAAATAAAAAGGGATTCGTCTTGTTTATTATGACACGTATTATGGTCTCATGTGAAGAAAGCAGCCTGCTTATTAAATATGGTTATTAACATAGTGAATTAAAGTGAACATGTGGCCCTCATATGAAGAAAATGTGCTAATTATGGAGAAATAAGGACCCACAAAGAGTCATAGAGGCAATATGATAATTCTCAACATTTTTCTCTATATGTGCCCAAAATTTGGCTAATAAACAAAATATTCTCTCTTTCAAACTTAAGCTATCAGATATTTCTCATGCACTGAATTGTTTTCATTCATATTTCCACATAAGTGAAAAACAGGCCTATTACGTCAACATTTTTGCTGCCAAACAAGCAATTCACGTGTGTTGGTGCATTTTATTGTTATAGAATTTGAATTAAGCAAATGCAGCGCATCACCTTTCACTGTATCTGAGTCTCTGATTAAGAAAAACAGGGTGTATCCAGAAAAGTGCCCGAGCACCAACTACAGCCATCCCAAACTTCTCAGCGCCTCGGAGAGCCCAAATGTGGGTGAATGACATCAGCAGAGCAGTGAGCCAGTAAGAGTGTGGCTCCGGGTTTGGGGGGCTGGAAACTCGCTGGAGAACTTCTCGCCTGAAAGCCCCGCAAAGCGCTGCAACTTTTGGGCTCGTGTTCTTCTGCTGAACTTCTGTGAACGAGGAGGATTTCTGAGAGAACCGAGCGGAGGGATTGTGAGGAGGGCGAGTGGAGCTCTATCAGGACGTGTGCTGTCTTTCTTTTTTTCTTTTTGGAAACTTTTTAGGCTAAAAAAGAGAGCAGGAGTATCACGAGAGCCTTTATGAGAGAATTCTCACAGTGATGTGCACATGGACATTTACGCACGCGCCTGTTTGGTTGGTCCGGTGCGGACGCGGCTAAATGGAAGTTTAACTTTGGATGACTTTGGCTTTGCACACTTTCGGCAGGAGTTTGTAAAGTTGACGCCGCTTGTCGCGCGCGCCCGGCTCTGAGAGGCTCCAGCTGGACACTCAAACTCTGCGCGTTGCACTTCTCTGGCTTAAAACGAGCGGAGGATATATTTCACAGCTGTCAGGAATTTCCTCTTTTTTCCAGTCTTTTTTGTTTGTTTGTTTGTTTGTTTGTTGACCCGCGAGCTCGTTTACGTGTTGCGGATAGGATGCGAGCGCGCGCGCAGCAGAAGCGCTGGCCGGCCGGTGGCGGAGTGCTCGCGCTGCTCTGCGCGCTGCTGCTAACCGTCGCAGCCGTGCGCGGCTGCCCGGCCAAGTGCAGCTGCTCGGGATCGCACGTGGAGTGCCAGCAGCAGGGCTTCCGGTCAGTGCCGAGAGGAATCCCGAGGAACGCGGAGCGACTGTGAGTATTCCAGGATGGATTCGTTTTAGTAGTGGGCGCGTGCGGTGAAAAACACTAGCTCTGGCACGAGCTACCTGCATGCGTTGTTGTAGACTGCTGGACAGGCAATTGATTGCCACGCAGGGTCAGCAAACTGAGGTTAGAAAGGTAGTCTCCAGTAGTAATAGCAGACTGCTCTCTGTTACATGTAGCTTGTAATGTGTGATGTAACCAGTCACACTTGCTGAATATGCACAAAATTTAGAACCTCCGTTCCATACAGAACAACTTCAATGGTTCTTTGCATGGTGAAATGGTGCTACACATTGGTGGAGAATGTGTTGTACATGGTTCTATACAGAACCTTTTAGAAAAAGGCTCCATATAGCACCAAAAAGCGTTTTTCTATTGTTACATCAAACTTGCATCCTCTTCTGAAGCCCTGCTAGAACTTGCAAACATGCAGATTCAAACTGACAGCATCTCTGCTTTTGCTCTGTCACAGTCAAATCGAGCAAGCACCCTCGAGTTTACACTTTTGCTGCAAGGAGACGCATCAGCACTGACATTTCAGAGTCATGAACCAGACAGGCTTTATGTTCCTCTGCTTTCTCTGACATTAGGAACGTGCCACGGCTGAATTATGCATTTCTCATTTTGGCTTTGAGAACCATCAGTGTTCAAAAAGTAGGCTGCTCGTATTTGCTGAACGCTGAGTGTCTTGAGGCATACATTCATTTAAATTTTTTGGGTTTAGATCCAGCATATCAGTTACCGCACAGCTTTGAGTGATTGTGTTAATTGGTGTAGGGAATAGAGGCATGCACTCATTAGGATGATTAATGGAGGTGTAGGGTGTGTGTGTGTACCTTGGCACCTTGGGTAGAGGAACAAACTGTAAGCGCGTTTAGGGGCACACGCTCTGGCAGCACACGGGATTTCATTCGTTTTCTTCTCACAAGCCGCAGGGCTGGTGTGTGTTTGAGAAATGTTTGGTTTCTGGGTTAAAAATATGCTCGGCCACAGTGCCACCTACGCATGGACGTGTAAGGCAACCCATAACATGCCTTAAGTAACCAACTCAAGGAGCATTGGGTTACCATATGGCTTAGATAGAACAACGGCGATCGGCTGTTTGCTCTGGTTGTGGTAGGACAGCAAAAATGCACAGGCGTTGGCTGGAGTGTTACTTGACCCTTGCGACCTTTCTAACCGAGAGCTTTTCTTGGGGAAGAGAGTGCATTTAGGTGAGCCGTTAATACCCTGCAGAAAAAAAATACTCTTTGTATGAAGTTGATTTAATTATGCCACAGATTTCCATTCAAATAGACCTGTGCTGGACTTTCCCAGAGGAAATTTTAAATCTTGCTGATATGTAGATCTTCAGTGGCTTGGGAGACTTCATGGTTCCTTAGGAGAAGTATTATTAGATTAAAAGTAGAGGTGAGACATTTCTGGCCCAAAGTAAAAAATTGTAATAGTTACTCAAAGCATCAGAACTGAGAAGTGTTGGATGAAAAACGTCTGTAGTTCAGATGCAGATAAACATGAACGTTATTATATTAGCAAATCTGAGCACAGTGTGTGATTTTACTGAGATATGAACTGCAGCAGGAGGCTTAAAAGTCTCCTTTGTCTTTCCATCCGATCTCTTTGCCATTTAGGTGAACACTAAAAACACTACAGAGATGTCTTTTTTGATTTTTCTTTGATGTGTAGTTACCTCAGCAAACAATTAAAGTTCAGTTCATTTTGGACGCTGTGTGTTTTTCCAGTGTACTGCCTCAGATTTGTCCCTCTGTAAAGAGCCGCAGATGGTGAAGAACAGCAATTCTTGCTCATTCTTAGCTGAGTATTTCATCATTGACTGTGTAGGCAAATTATTGATGCAGGATTAAGCAAGTTTGTCGCCAGAACTAAGCCATAATTCCTTCTGTAACGCATGTTTTCAGGACCAGTTAAAGTTCAGATGCTGCTGGCCCTGTGTCTCTGGGGTGCGCTTAACACACTGCCACTGTTCTCATAACACCCCGGAGTGTTGATTTAAGTGTAATGGGCGCACTGCCGCCCCATGCAAGGCTTTCGTCCCGCCAGTTCGAAACTCAAGTAACCACAAAAACAATGAACGAAGGAGACTGTTTGACTCACAAACTGGAAATATCACATTTTATAATTACATTTTATATTGAGATAACAAGATCCGTTATTGTTGGCTCTGCTCTCTTTGATTGATAGGAATAATAAGGCGTAATTAAATTTCTACATTTTGAGTGACACATCCCTCCTAATAAACGAGTATTCGCTGTGAATTCTTCTCTCTCCTTGACAGCTTGTATGATTTTTCACTCATTCGTTAGTTCTCACTCTTAAATACGCACATACACACACTCTCTGTCACTTTCTCACTCTCACACACTCTCTTGCACATGCACACACTCACACACACGCTCAAACTCTCAGCTCTGGCTTGGGCACTCTGAAGCGTTTAACAGCGCCTTCTCTCCAGCAGAGTTTTCGCAGTGGCCAGCCACTCTTGCACTTCACACTTCAGGAACAATGTGGCACATTGTGGCTGGTGTAGCACGCTCTCTGTCTCCTGAAAAGAGAAGGAGAGGAAGAGAGGGAGAGAAAGAATGGCAGCATTTTCTACCCCCTGTACTCCCTGTCTGCCTCAATTAGGCAACATGGGAATAGGCAAGATCTGCATCATTTCTTAAGCACTGTTTAGACTGGAGTTCTGTAATGTAATTTGTAAAGCATTTGATTGGCTGATTTGTAAAGGATAAAATACCTGTGTGATTTTTCCAAATTATCAGTCTGCATTGAAATGTTATAACTCATATAGACTCACACTCAATAACAATAACAACACAGAGCAAAGCCATGGCTACTAGCCGGTTTTGTTATTCCCTTAGTATGAGGCTAATGTGAATTGTCCTACTATTACTCAGGGAGCTTTGAACAGCCCATAACAAAAAGCCATTCAGTCTGGAATTGTTACTGTTTGACTTCACATACAAAATTACAAAATTACATGCATTGAAGATTTGCACTTGATTAAAATCTCCTAATCACTTAAATTATACACTACAAGAATGATATTTTTGGAAGTGTCAATATATTGTCCGTAGCTAATATATCTATATTTCTTATAATAAGATTATTGTATAATTATGATGAGGTCAGTTAATCTATTTCTAGACATTTTTGCAGATTTTAAGTAGTGAAATCCAAGTGAAATGATCTTATTCTACTGGCAGATAGTTTTGCTCATTTCAGGAACTAATGCCTGAAGGAAGTAAACTGATCTGTCAGCTCACCTGATATGATTACTTAAAATAAGAAAAAAATGCAACTGATTTAATAACCCAATAAAATAAGATATTAAATATATTTTATGCATTCAAGACTTTTCACTTCCTGAAATATAGTTTTTTGCAGAGTAGTATCTCCCCAGGTAATACTAATCCAGCTCAAGCTGGTCTTTACTTTAACATTGTGCAGGTTCCGTAGAGGCCTGGGAAAGCCACACTGCTGCTCATGTACAGCCTTAAATGGGCACCTGTTTGCTCACTGTCTCAGGTGTCTGGGCTGTTTTGGTTATGAGTAAGCACAGCGGAGGGCCAGTCAGCATGTGTGTTTGTTGTGTTGGGGTTTGAGCTAACACTCAGCGGGTCTGGAGGTTGGTTTGCGGTCTCCGGTGCCCTGCTGACCTTTATAAGCATAAGAGCAGCACATGTGAAATTTGGGTAAATGTCTGTGGAGCTGGCTGCCAGGCGGTTGGCTGCTGGGCACAGGCTTCAGGGAAACATCAGCCACCCAACCTCTGTAAAAGTGCAAAAAATAAAACTTTTACATGAATGGAAAACATTTAAGGTGCTTAGTTTTAGCCAACACTTCAAAGCCCAGCACTGGCAGAGAGGGCTGTACGCCTTCAGCTTAGGGCAAGGATAGCGGTGAGTCCAAGTCACGAACGTCCTAGATGGGGTCCCACCAAAAAGTAGGGCCACTGACATCTGTTCAGCTTCCAAGTGTGTGTCATGCTTTAAAGCAAGGCTAGAAAGGAGTCGTTGCAGGTTTACAAGCTTTTGTCACCATAGTAACACAGCAAGGATCCTTGTTTGGCCAAAAATACCAATAGTGCTTTTTCAACACTATAATATGGTAAACAATTCAATACCATTAGTAACGTGAGCATTTTGTATTTTATGTTAAACGCTACAATTGTTATGCAATATTGTATGTCCTTGTCTCTATGTTGAATGAAGCCATGCTTAAATTAACTGAGTTACTTATTTGATTTATATGAAGAGTATTATATAGCTAAAACGGGAGATTGAATTTGCTGCAACAGTTTGAATATTTTTTTCAGTCTAGTATACATTGGCTGTTAAAACCATGATTAAAACTATTTTGCTATACTATCACTTGGGCATCAAGCATCTTGACACTATGCTTGGTATCGTTATCAAAGCCAAATTCTGATATCGTGACAACCCATGCCTTATATTGTCCAGTATAGTTTTGGCTGAGAGCAACTGGATGTGATAGTGTTTATTCCAATCTCAGAAATATGAATAAATCTTTGCATGTTTCATGCCTTTGTCACTGTGATGTAAGCAGAATCAGGGGCCCAAACACTGGGTTGCAGTTAGCAACCCAGTAAACAGAAGGAACAAGCCAGAACTCCTTATTAATCAAACAGGATTGCAGCGCCTGTGGCGTTTGCATCCTGAAAGTAACTGTCCCTCTGGATCCAGGAGTCGGCCTTTTTGAGCTTTGATGAGATTTACATGAGCCACCCGTTGAACCAGGAGCTGGCCTGGTTTTAAACAAGCCTCCCGCTGAATAAACAGAAGCTGTGGAGGTCTGGCGGAGCAGCTATTCTTAAATATGGTCAGGACACTCAGGATTTATTTTGCTTCTGCTGTCCCCCCCCTACAATGACGTCCATAGAGGTATGCCGCTCCTGGCGGCCTTTATTGGTTCCTGTTGGTGTCTCTTGGTTTTGCACTTGGCTG